TACTGGGACAATCCTAAAAGAAAATTTGTAAGGCTGGTATACGAGACAGTCACAGTTGGGCTGAAGTAAAGAGGCAGGATTAAGAACATTAAAATAGAATTGAGTAATCTGATATTCCAGATGAGAAATCAAAAATGCTGCTTAGGTTTCTAGTTTGGGAAAGGTGGGGTGTGAAGGGTCCAGTAGCTGAGATATGACAGATAAAATCTCTCTATTAGGATTTGGAGAAAGGGTGGCGATGAAAATCTCGGAGCACAGCTCTGGAGTGATAACCACTCGGGCTCCACTTCTAAATTGCCAAGTACTACTCATGGGACACTGGGAAATTTACTTAACCTCTTTGTTTCTCAGTTTCCTCATATGTAAAATGGAAACAATTATAATGTTTATCTTCTGTTGTCACTGTGAAAACAAAATGAATTCACATATTGTGTTACTTATATACTACTTCATAATCTCAATTCCTACCTCACTCACTCTCAACCTGACACCATTATCCTTGATTCCAACAACCTTTGACTTCACTGTAATTTACAATGTACTATTCCTAAAATCTATTACTGTACCTTACATTTAATGTCCTTACTTCCCTTATTTCCAGCTTAAATTCCATGGTTAAGCCTTACAATTACTCCTTTGCATATATTCTCAACTCTGGCTGCCCTCTCTGTATATCACATTTGCCAAAAGACACGGTCACATGAAGACTAGGCTATGCCTATTCCATTCATAAAGCTGGAATGTAACTAGATAAATATGAATGAATATGAGTAGAGACATATACTCATCCAAGCTGACTGGAATTGTATACTAAATGGATGATTACTAACCAGAGGTAGCTGCTCTTTTCTCCTTGAAAATCACACTGTTTCTTTGATCCATTTTGTTCCCACAGGCTTCTTATACATCTTGCACCATTCTCACTGTAGCTAATGACCCAGCTTTCTATTTCTTTGGGAAAACAGAAGTGTTATATCTTTTTGCCATTGTTGCCCCTTCAACACAGCACAGACTGTTCCTTTTAAAATATAAGTCAGATAAGTTCTGGTTCTGGTCAGAGTCCTCTAATGGCTTCCTATTTTATTCAGAGTAAAGGCTAAAGATTTTACAATGGCCTAAATTGTCCCACTCAATATAAAAATCTTATGATAACTTTGAACTCCTATTTTTCCTCCTATACACTCAGGGTTAGTCACTAAACCCCCTAATGCCTTTGAGATCTGTCAAGTGTCTACTGCCTCAGAATCTGTCAGTGAAGTTATGTCCCCAGATAGCTACAGGGGTGACTCCCTCAAATCACTCAACTCTACTCAAGTATTTCGTCAGTGAATACCTTGACTGCCTATTTTATCACTGCAAACCAACATTTCTTCTTTCTCTGCTTTAATTTTTCCCTTAACAATTTAAACAAAACCAGTACTTATTTATTGTATGTATTTAAGGCATATGACTACTGTACAATTAATGTTTTGATATTGTTAAATAAAAATTATCAAAGGCCATTGTTTTGGACTGAGCTCCTACAGGAGGTCCCAACAGACCAGACCAAACCAAAATGTAAACTAAACTTTAGTACAAACAACTTGTACTAAAGTGTCACATAATCAAGCTGAAATTTTAAGGAAGCAAACTGATCCCCAAACACATCAGTTGTTTCTGAAAATGTGAAATTCAAGTCTACTTGACTTGGTATAATAAGGATGTAACCTCTGCTTTAACTCTTTACCCAAAGAGTAACCTGAAATAACATGATGTTAAACAATCAGCTTTTGTTTTGTATTGTTGTGTTTCTTGTTCCCACCTTACAAAACCCACTGTTGTAGGTCTAGTGGGAGCTCTCATTCTACTCTGTAGAACGGTGGCTGTCTAATTCATGAATAAATGCCAATTTGATCTATAAACAAATTTGTTGTTATTTTGTTTTCAATAGTGTAAATATTCATAGTGAAATGACTATTATAGTCAAGCAAATTAACATACCCATCTCCTCATATAGTTACCTCATATATATATAGTTATATATACATATATAGATATAGATATATACACTTTTTTTTGAGACAGAGTCTCACTCTGTCACTCAGACTGGAGTGCTGTGGTGCAATATTGGCTCACTGCAACCTCCACCTCCTGGGTTCAAGAGATTCGCCTGCCTCAGCCTCCTCAGTAGCTGGGATTACAGGCACCTGCCACCACGCACGGCTGATTGTTTTTTGTAGTTTTAGTAGAGATGGGGTTTTGTCATGTTGGCCAGGCTGGCTTTGAACTCCTGACCTCAAGTGATCCACCCACCTCGACCTCCCAAAATGCAGGGATTACAGGGGCGATCCACCGTGCCCAGCCATGTTATACAATATTAGCTATAGTCATCATACTGTACGTTGGATTTCTACACTTATTCATCTTACATAACTGCAATTTTGCACTCTTTGACCAACATCTCCCCCGTCCTCCCCTCTTCATATCTTCAGGAATCAACATTCTACTCTATTTATATATTTTAGTACAACCAGGTACTAAATAATTTATTTATTTATTTTTATTGTTTATTGTCTACATTACCCCTGCTGGAATGTAACCTCCATAAAAGCAAAGATTTACCTTTGCTTTTAATGTTTTCTTTCCTACCTATAATACTGTTTGGCACATACTAGGCATGCAATGAATATTTACTGAAAAATTAAATAATATTTTAGCATAGTCCCTGGGATAGTATACATGTTCAATCAAAAGAGGTAAAATTATTTCAGTAATAATAATATATTGGGAATATTGCACCTAAAATAATATGGGTCCTGCAAGTGGCAGTTCTAGGTTTGGAATTTAGGAGGATGAGCTGAATATAAATTAACATGGTAATACAACCAACTGAATAAACAAGATCTCATTGAGAAGAATAATAAGAGAGGAACGCCATGACATAGGAGGGTAGAATCTAGGAAGGCACCAACATGGGCATGTCGACATTGTGAACCCAGGAAAGGTACTGGAAACAAGTATCCAGAGAAACAGAGAAAGGACGAGGAGTGAGGTATAATGGAAGTCAATGAAAGGTAGACACCTTGGAAGGATGAATGCTCAATAGTCATCACACACTTCAGAGTAGATAGTACCACAAAAATGGTAAACAGCAAATGGTGAGATACAAATCAGTATTAAAACTATGGGGATATTTAATCATTGGAGATAAATCTTCAGAATAAAAATGTCTAAAAGTAGCAATGAAAGGTTTTGCAAGATTGTTCAAAGACAAGAAAATTCACATACACATGCTCTTTACATTTGATTCTCTCAAACAAAGAAATGATAGCATAACAAAAAGAACACACCTTATGTTTGAATTTATATAACTAGGGGTTGACATAAGCGGGTCAAGGAGGCAGTCCCCAGACTCAATGAACTGAGGGGGGTCTTTTTGCACAGGCAGATGGATAGTAGGAAAGAATCGCAGATCTCATCTTAGAGTTAACATCTGAGATCAAAAATGCATCTAAACCAATAAAATTGCTGTATTTTAAAATAAGAATATAAATAATACAAAAATTCTAGAAGTCTTCAAGACAATACTTAAATGAATAAAAACAACACTAAATTAACCTAAAATGTAAAGTATTTATATATGCCTCTCATTATATTTAATTAATCTTATTTACCATAGGATGTCTAATAAACCTTACATGAAGAAAGGAATTTTAGAATTAGTTATTGCTATACTCAGCAATACTGAGGTATTTTCTTTTCCTTTATTTTTGTAGTTTGAGAAAATGAAGAGTTTCTAATAATCTTTTTAAATAAAGGCATTTAAAATACAACCAGTATTTTACAGATAATTACAAAATGAATCACAAGTGGTACAAAATGAGTAATATGATTAATTTCTAGGTTGACCTTTAGAAAAGTATTTTTCGGCCGGGCGCGGTGGCTCAAGCCTGTAATCCCAGCACTTTGGGAGGCCGAGACGGGTGGATCACGAGGTCAGGAGATCAAGATCATCCTGGCTAACACGGTGAAACCCCGTCTCTACTAAAAAATACAAAAAACTAGCCGGGCGAAGTGGCGGGCGCCTGTAGTCCCAGCTACACGGGAGGCTGAGGCAGGAGAATGGCGTGAACCCGGGAGGCGGAGCTTGCAGTGAGCCGAGATCTGGCCACTGCACTCCAGCCCGGGCGACAGAGCGAGACTCCATCTCAAAAAAAAAAAAAAAAAAAAAAAAAAAGAAAAGTATTTTTCTAACACTTCTTAGTTGTTATAATTTTATTATATCAAATGGAAGTTCCAGCCATTTAACTTCATGTTGTTTTTTCAAAATGAGAAGTGCATCATGGATATAAAATAGTTTGTTTTTTAAAATAACTGCTTAACTTTCGAGGCAATTTGGATTTTGAATATGAATATTGTTTGAGTATCTGCTTCTCTTTCTACCAAGGTTCATTTTCTTCAGAGTTACTTTACTCATGCATTTTCACTTCTATATTTATTGAATTAAGTAATTAAGTAATTATTTTGCAGGTAGTTAAATTTATTGTTCAATACAAATTTTTTTTAAAAAACAGCAATAGCAGTGCATAACTTTCTTCATGGTTGTATCATCACTTTAGGTAGACTAGATGAGAGCCCTCAACGTTGCAGACATACAATGTGCATCTCCAGCAAAATTGCCCATAAGAATAATTTCATTATTCTGGGAAGCTAGATCTATAAAATATATAAAATGTTGAAGTGTTCTGCCTTTACAATTCCTGGTAAGTACAGCATGACTAAGTGATAAAACCCGAATAAGCTTCAGTTCAAGCGTACCGTTCTAAAAAGCGTACTGTGACATGAAGGAAAAAGGAAATATATTGGGCAAAGGTGTTCTGTTCCAGAGGAATGATGTATTTTAGATCTATATACTTCTACCTTGATTGATGAAAAATTATCTATAGAAGCTTTTAATGGTATACGATACTGATTAGTCACAGCAATCCTGAGTTATAGCAGAATGATAAGGAAAAACTCACCAGTACCACTGGACAGATTGTTGTGGGTGGTAAAATATGGTCCTTCAAAGGTCCACAGTCACATTCAGGTTTTAGATGAGAAGCACATTTATTATGCAGCTAGAAAAAGAGAAAGGGGGATAGTGTCAAATTCTACATGACAACGTCTAACATGGGGGAAACTATATTTTAATCGAGATACAGCAAACACATTAAAAGTACAATAAAGAAATTATAAGAACAAATAAACAGTCATACAATAATTCATAATACATTTGTCCTTATATATGTACCCTAAATAAACCATTCAGCAGCTTCTGTGACCCATTCTATACATTTTGTAATTCTCAGAAATGTTTATATTAAAAATGTACTTTAGGTTTTGCACCAAAGAAGCCTAATTTCTTTGACAAACACAAATTATTGTCCATTACAGTTCTGCCTTTGCTTATCTGTTAGCATAATCTTGAAACCACTGTGCCTGTGTATGCTTTTTTTTTTTTTTTTTTTTTTTTTTTTTGACCCTCCTGTTTTCTCAAAGTCATTCCAAAGTGCACAGCTCAGTATGGGGCATAATTGATCCCATCATTAGTTTTAACTTTGTAATTCAATATGTAAATGTAACCAGAGATTCATCTCAGTAGGAGCAGGATATAAATAAAAGAAGATGATTATGATTATAAAAATTTATCTGTATATTGTATTTATCAGCTCAACATTAAGTTAGTATATAATCATACAATGTCCTATTTATTTTTTGATATGTATGATCCAAAACTAATATTTTTATTAACGTGGTCATAAGTTTACATGAAGGTGTTATAACATGGTGTTTTAAATAGTGATGTTTTAAAACTGAAGTGTTAGTTTTTTAAAGAATTACACAGATTTGGTAAAATCATACTTGCTTGAAGGCATCTAGAGATTTCTCCCTTCTGTACTATGCATCAATTTGATATGAACTATTAATATTTTAGAAAAAAAATACATTTCAATAAGATAACATGTCATGTTCAAAACAAAAAAGAGCCACATTATTTTTTCATTTTGAATCAAAAGCTACCCCATTTAAGCCTTGGCTGCATTAATTTCCACAACATACATAGCTTTGTGAGTAGTTAATTATCAACTAAGCATAGGAGTCTAATGAGTGTTGATTTATTTTTAGTAATAGAACAGTATCAAAGAGGTATTTCTGCCATCCTAGATTCTAAAACTGTTGTCATGCTAGCTCCCTGCATTGGAGTGAAGGTGACTTGTACTATAATTAATGCACATTAGGTTACATTACATGAAATAAAAGTATCTTAACACGTTCATCCATAATTAGCAGCTCTGCTTCTCAGGGGCATATAAACTTCTCTATAAAAAAGTGATTTAATCATATTAGGCACTACTGGTCTTTGTCAAGAGTTAAAAAGTATTGAAGATAAAGAAGCAGTTAAATGCACAATAGAACTAAATAAACAGATACTAAGAGCAAGTTAAAATGCATAGTTTCCTCAAAATAAAATTAGTGACTGATTTAAAATGTATTATTAATATATTGGACTTAGTAATTAACTTTCTTAGAGTATGCCATGGCCATGGATGTCTGGATTTAGAGTTAATAGATTATCAAGTGTTGGGATAGATCAATTCCCCCCAAAGGATATGTTGAAGTCCTAATTTCTGGGACCTTTGAATGTGAACTTAATTGGAAATAGAGTCTTTCTAGATGTATTTAAATTAATATGTTGGTTTAGCTGGACCCTAATCCAACGACTGGTGTCCTTATAAGAAGAGGAGAATCTGGAAAGAGAGACAATGGCACAGAAAGGAGAAGGCCATCTGATAACACAGGTCAAGATCTGAGTGATGCACTATAAGACAAAGAATTCCAAGGATTGCTGGAAACCACCAAAAGCTAGGAAGAAGCAGAAAAAGATTCTTCCAGAAAGCCTTCAGAGGGAGGATAACCTGCTGACATTTGGAATTCTAGCCTCCAGAGCTATGAGTGAATACATTCTTGTTGTTTTAGGCACCTATTTCATGGCATTTTGTTACAGCAGCCCTAGGAAACTAATAAACCCAGTACTATGAAAACTGCACTAAAACCAAACAAAGACTATGGATCTTAAGACTCTGCTGCACTATGGATGTCACAGAGGAAGAGCTTTTACTCTTTAATCTTGAGCAACTTTCTTAAAACTGAGAAAACAGACTCTAAGAACCTTACAAAAAACAGATCCAAGTTAAAAATCTATTTGTGTTTACAGCAAGAAAGTGTTGAAATATTACTCTTGATTACAGTGTAAAGCCAAACATGTGACTCTGAAGGCCACAGGGGCAGGACATACTGAGTCTCATGCCAACACTGACTACAGATGCACAGTCAGAGGCCTCAGCCTCCTCCACGCCTCCATCCATGTGTTTCCAACAATTTGCAACTGATATGGTAAGGGACGACTAAGCTCTCTCTATAGTTATTTGAGGGTTACTGATGTAAGAAAGGATGGCAAAAATAAAATTAATTTAATGATAATTTGGGGGCATTTAGAGTAGTTTCCCAGATGGAAGGAAAGAATCAAAGACTCAGATAGAATCATGCAATAGATGAGCTCACCAGAGTGTGTGTGAAGGGACAACTCTGTATATCAGGGTTTGGGAGTTTCCGAGCATAGGTACTGACAATCGATCCCATGAAATTCTGGCCTTTGCAGAGTCAAATAAAGCTAGTATGGGATTTCCCAGTTTGATTGCCACTGTGGTCCAGATCCCTGAGTTTTGTCTAGGCAGTCATAAGGCACTGCCCCAGATATAGTAGGATCTATAAGTTTAGTAACCATATTATCATCTGTTAAACAGAGTCACACAATGTAAGAAAATTCTCCTAACCAAGAAGACTATACTTGCTAATATGCAGGAATACCTTATGCTTGTATTAAGACTAGAATCTGGCAGCTAATAAATATATTTGCATAGTCATCAACATTATGATGTTGTTTGTAGCAAAGAGTGTTAAAACTGAGGGCATCACGGTAGAAGTACGGATCATTTTACAAGTTGTGAGTCAAATTAGTATGACAGGTTTAGTTTATGCATCATATTTCTTGGAAATACACTTGAGGAAAAAATATACAATGTGAAAGCCAGTATGAAAAATGCATATCGTTTTCAGGACTACCTATAAAGTGTAAAAGCAAACATCATTTTTGCTGTGAACTTAAAATTGCTGTAAATCATAAAGTCTATTTTAAAAAGCAAAAATCAACAAAAATTATACAATAGAATTCAAAAGCTACAATTTTTTTTTCTTTAAGATACTGATAATATTTTGTTTCCTGATCAGGTACTGCTTATAGAATATTCATTTGGGGAAAATTCATCGAGCTCTGCCCTTTGGATATAAATGCTTTTCTGTATGTACATTTTCCTTCAATAAAAAGCTTTTTATAGTTTGAAAGAATGAATAAAACCTACTATTTGATAGCATAACAGGGTGACGTAATAATTTAGTTGCATATTTTAAAACAACTTAAAGAGGATAATTGGATTGTTTGTAACTCAAAGGATAAATGCTTGAAAGGATGGATACCCCGTTCTCCATGATGTGCTTATTTCACATTGCATTCCTGTATCAGAACATCTCATGTGCCTCATAAATGTATATACCTACTAAGTAACCACAAAAATTAAAAATAAAAAAATAAGTAAATATCATCAACAATAAAAAGTTGCTTAAACTTGTTACCATATTTCATGGACAAGAATATAAGTAAAAGACACAGCTGAGTCCTTCTCAGTGTAAATAAGATGCTGAAGACTGACAATTGTTTTAAAGATAACCTGTATCCCAAATCAGCAAAATCCTAAACACAGAGATTCTCATCAAGAATAGAAATAAACTAAAGCATTGAAGATGCTGTCTCTTGAGTAAAATAACCTATAGCGCACCAGAGAAAAGGGAATTTTTACTAATTAAAATTAAAAAAAATTGTTCAGTTATCTTTGTATTTTTTTCAAGCTAAGGCATAGAAATCCTTAGCTCATTTTTAAATATACAGCCAGAAATTCCCATTCATGTTAAGAGATTCAGTGCCATATGTAGCAAAGTCATATAATAGAAACCAGCTTTTCCTGGAAGTGAATTAAACACTTGGAAATAATTTCAGAGTTTATGACAACTTCCAGTAGCACCTAATTTAGAGCCAGATCTATGTTTATTAGAAAAAGCTGTCTCAAGATAAAAAGAAAAAGAAAGTGTGCGGATGTCTGTGTGCATGTGTGCCAGCATATAGTTATGGGTGGAGTTGAGGAAAGAGTGGCTGTGCTGGTCAGAGAAGAAAATGAAATCTAAGAAGCCAAAAGGAGGAAAAATAGAAAATAAGTGTTCATAGGAATTTAGAGGAAAATAAGAAGAGAAATAAACTATTCTTCTAAAGAAAAATTTGAAGGTCTGATTTGGAGGCACATATTTATTGGTTTACCTGTTACACTGGCCCCTAATATTTTGCAGTTTTGGGGTACTTCCTAAGACTGGCATTTACTGAAGCAGAAATGTTTCCATGGCATTGGAAACTTTTAAATATTACTGCTAGGAATTTAGTATCTTAATAAATAATACTATCTCTAGATCATAGCAAAAGTTAGTAAATCATTTCTATGAAATAGATGTTCTTTTTTCAAGCCTAAATAAAATGTCTTGACTTCCCAACCTGGTGAGTCCTGCCCGACCAGTGACAGCTTACCTTGACCAGCAATGATTCACAACATGTTCTACAAAGAAGGTCAAGAAAACACACTTTCAGAAGAAATGAACAGGTATAAGCAGTGGGATATTAAGGATGTTAGTAATCAAGACAGAAAAGAAAACTGAGGCGAATATTTTGCCTGTCACAGAGAATTGAAATATAAAACACAGAGACTGGTTGCCTAAATATCAGAAGGCAGTTTTCCATTGACCTTTCTTAAGCTTTTCGTATTTTTAATTTTGAAGTGGCTAGATTTACAAATGAACAGAAAATTTCATTCTAAGAGCCTAATTTTATGCCTACAAGATGGCCAAAAAGTACATCAAGAAGCCACAAGTATGAACTGAAATATGAGTGTGAAAATGGATTCTTAAGTGTTTGTTTAAGCTTACTTGCATATCTGATGGAGATTTGAGTATTACAGGATGATATTATAAAACAAAACTTAAATAGGACGTATGTTTGAAATTTAATATTCTACTGTAAGAATAGCATATCAGAGATTAAAGTGATCTTACTGAAGACTTCTCTATACTCAATACTTTGTCAAGAACTTCAGGTGATTAGGAAAAAATGTGTGATATGGACAAGCAACAGGAGCGGACTATAGTTAACATTGCAAACAATGTTACCCTGCAGTGTGAAACCAATGGAGAGCATTTGAGTTTTTCCTTTGGATGTGGAATATAAGTACAGAAACTATTCCGAATCAAGATATATTAGTGTCAAGAAAAATTTCAAGGAAGACAAGTAACCTAACTTGGTTCTTAAGGTATGATGAGAATTTAAGATACATGCATTCAAGGGAAGGGGATGAACAAAATAGTAGGCATGAGGGAAACATGACCTCCTCAAGGGACTGTCAACAGAAATACACAGCTATGGCAGAGGGTGTGTGTAGAAGAGGAATATTATATACAGTTATGTTTAGGTTTGGTTCTGATTTCTACTAAAAAACAAGTTGAGGCAAGGGATGTTGAGGGCTGCATTTATTATCACAGAACTATTATAGATTGCTAAAGAAGGCATATAACAAACCAGTATTTTCAGAAGATCTTTCTGGAGGTGGTATGCAGCCTGCATTATAGGAAAAGTACCTTCTGTTAGGGAGATGATCCAAGAGATTTTGACTCTAATCTAGTCAAGAGGTGCTAAGAGCTTGCACTAGGGCTGCGAATGTGGAGACAAAACCTCAAATCTGAGAGAGATATTTTAAGTAGGAAATGACAAGACTCACTGACAGGTTGTGTACATGAGATAAAGGTAAAAGACAAAAGTAAAAAAAAAAAAAAAAATTGACTTCTAACTTTTTTTCCAATGACTGGAAGCATGACAATACCAGGTCTGATAGAATGAGAGAGTTGTAGTAATATTCTTTGGGAATGAAAATCAGTCAGTTTGGCTTAGGATTTAGTGAGATTCAGGACCACAGGATTCTGGATGTTTTTTTTGAGTGCATGCAGGTGCTGTTCTGAAGCAGACTGGGCAACTATCCATCCTTCTACAGGTGAGACAGAAATGACATAAGTTCTTCATGGAGTGCCCTCTGGAAACCAGGGGTTGGTTATATGCACCCAAATAGTATTTCATAATACCCACAGATATAATTGTTACTTACTGAGCACTAATATGTATGAGGTCTTGTCCTAAACATATCTACAGAGATTTTTTTAGCCCCTTTAATCCTCATAACAATCTAATAACTTAGGTACCATTAACTCCATTTGACACATTAGGAAATTTGTCCAAACTGGTTACATAAACGGCCCAAGATGGCACAACTAGTAAGTGAGGAGACAATCTTAAGAATCTGGTTGGTCTGACTTACAACAGTCAAGTCATTTCCAAAAGTAATATATAAAAGGAAGTAATGGCTTTTGGACAAACCCCGAAAGAAAGCCAAGCTTCATTCTTTCTGTTTCTCTCTATAATATATTCTTCATGGAACCCATTCAGATAGGCCTTTCTGAAGCCAGCACTAGCAGTGCCATATTCCATTACTTCTATAACTTCTGCTAGCTCTTTGTTATATTCATAGTACTTTCTGGAAAGTGTAAGAGCAAAAGAAAGTACATTCAGTTGTTTAAAGGCAAGCAGTAGTAGTAGATACCCATCAGTCAAGAGCAGATCAATTTCATGCTGAAATTTTCATGCAATGGCTCAATAGAAAACTATAAATACTACTAAATACATAAATGTGCTGAGGTAAATATATCCTGTTTAACCAAGGCACAAAAATCAATAATTAAGTAAATATGTACCTAAAATTGCTTAAAATTTAAAATCCAGACTGGACAGAGGCTGAAGTGACTTTCAAGAAACTGATATAGTCTCCCAGATATATGATAGCTTTTTAAAAATTTGCACAAGTTTGTTTTATGAACTTAATACCCATAAGACCCCTGGAACTCATGGTTTATAGAAAATGACGCTGAGGATGGCTAAAAGTCTCAGGACTTTAGAGAGCTTAGTAAGAGGGCAGCTTTTTTTTTTTTTTTTTTTTTTTTTTTCTTTCTGACTCTGCCTTAACTCCATCAGAGATCCCTGGTTAGTCTTGTTTCCTAAGTAGAAATTTCAGACTGATTAATTGATTTATTTATTAATAATTTTGAACTTGGGGATTTAAGACATTTGCTGTTTATGTTGTGCTTTGCCATAATGACAAACAAAATCACATTCAGCTATTCAATGGTATTTAGTGTAGGAATAAAATGTTAAGGGTATATTGTCTTATCTGATTTGGGACATATGATATTTAGATTTTTAAAAGTACAGTTTACGGAAAAGCGATATCTTTTTTCCTGTAAAAGAAAGTGCCTCTTTTCTTGTAAGGCTAGGGTCAGGATCAAGACCAAAGAAAAATGCGTAACTTGTGAATGGTAGGGCTAGGTGTGGATTCTGGAGTACCAGATAAGAAGAACCGTTAAAACAAAAAGGAAAACAATGAGAAAAACAAAATGGGATATAAAACAAGGAAAGGAAGAATTTTAAGATGCTTTGTGTACCAATAAGAGACCACTAGCAATGGTAACTTTGAGGACAGTGTTTCCCATGACTGGAAAGGGTAGAAGACAGATTTCATGGAGATTAAATAAAGAAAGAATGAGAGGATTCAAGTACAGAAAATTCTAACAACTTTGAAAGCTTTTCCATTAGAAAAGGCAGCAATGCATGTTTTTAGAGTGTTCAAACTGAGTACACACTTAAAAATATTGATTTTTTAAGAAATAAAAAAGAAAATATGAATAATAAACCTAAGACAATATGTTTGTAACTTATGAAGAATAGGAAAACAATTGGAGATATAAAGAAGAAATTATTTCTAATATTCTCTAATCTCAGCTCATGTTAAAGTTAAGATATAACCAGTGAAATATTCACTATATGAAAAAAATAAGAGGAAGCCCCCACGAGGTCTGAAATAAAACCTACATATTTTTGTAAACGGTTAGCAAAAAAAAAAAGACACCTGATTTTTAAAAATGTACATGAATGTTTTAAAAATGAAGTAGTTATGATCTTCTTAAAACTGGGAATTCAATGTTTGAGTACTTCGTGTGTAAAATTTGAATCATCGTTAGACATTTTATTATACAAACCAAACACTTTTAAAAAGTTATCTTTCATAATTGGGAAAATTTCAAATGTAAACATAATTTAACTAATAGCTGAAAATGATTACAGAAAATTTGTTCATTTAAAAGAAAGTACTTAATTGTATTTTTGAAAAGAAAGTCAGTTGTTTTTCTCATCATCCTGTGTGAGTGTGCGTGTGTGTGTGTGTGTGTGCATGTGTGTGTGTGAGAGAGACAGAGAGAAAGAGAGAGCATTTAAGAGAATTGTTTAATCCCTGGATTGAGGGTGGGGCACTTGGGGACCCAGTGGAGACAGTTATTTGCTTAACTGATTCAGAGCCTCCTACTTTTTTATTCTGACAAAAGTAAAAACTTTAGTCCTGTAACACGAATACTCACTCTATGCTGGAAAACTCCAGCCCCATAAATATTTTGTACTACATTATCAAAAATAGCTATTATTGAAAATGTGTGATTCTAATTAACTTCCAGAAATTACACATATAACTGTAAAAGTACCATCTAACAACTGCATTCATTCCAAAAATTTTTTCAAGCTAGATTTGACAGTCATTCAAGCCAGGTGAAATTCCAAAGTGTCCCAGAAAAGACTAATTTATCTCTTCTTACTTAATTGTGAACACCATCAAGACTAGCATTTACATCAGTCTCTCTTATACCCCAATGTATGATTTAACTGAAACAGGAAGGCAACGATATGTTGGGAAGAACGGTAAGATGAATTTTTAGATGCATCAAGACCTAAATAAAACACAGCCTACTTGCACTTCCATCTAGTCACATGGTCAAGGACAATTTGCTTAACTTTTTTGGTCTTAGAGTCTTTACTATATACTTAAATCACTGAAACTCATTGTTCATTTTTCTAACTCTTTTAAGCCCATAGATTTTATGACTAAAATAAATTTACAATAAGCAAACCAGAAAACCCTTATTACACAGGGTTGTGGAGTAAAGGGAGAGCCAAGTTCTACCCAATCAGTATCCTATTCGCATTGCTTACTCCTAGCCATGGCGTCTGATTACCTTCCTGGGAACCTCTAGCAGTCCATGGAACACAGTTGAAAAACCATACCATGGTATCATCTCTTAGATTGTCATCAGCTCTAAAATTCTGGACTCTATGGGGACAAATCTGACCCTGAGACTATCTCTTTGCAAACAAGCTGAAATAAGAAGTTCCATGGTTATATGCTTACACTGAGTCTCAGGAAGCCCTTCTAGGGCAGGACTTTCAGAGAGCATGAGATACACAGTCTTCAATGTGGGTGAATGCTGGGATTTGTTTTCCAATTGTTACTCACTGTGATCTGACACCAAACACAATGCAGTCCTGTCAGGCCCTGGTAACATTTAACAGTTTTGTGGCACTTATCACACTTGGTTGGGCAGTTACCTTCAACCCAGTAATGGTGCATGACCTAGAACAGAATGACATCATTGTGATAAGAGGACACACCACAGAATGGCCACTTTCAGAAAGCAAGCATGCACACAAACTTACATCAGCGTTCTTTTTGGACTTCACATAGGTCTTGATGCAAGAGGGCGGTGCTCGAGCCACACAGCGCTCATGGACTGTGTATTTGCAGACTGAAAGGAAACAGGTACACAAATTCAGAGCTAATCCTGGTCCTGGTTGTAATTTTTTAGAGAAAGAATGACATTAACAGAACCTCATTTCATATCCACTGCTCCCTAATCAATCCAATCAGCCACATCAAGGAGAAGTCCAAGTCGACTGTTTTTACCATGGAATATAAAAGGCCAATTAGTACAGGAAATATTATGCATGTGAAAAACCAAGGCTCCTCTATCATGGCATAGCAGGAAATGCTTAATTAAATCAGTCCTTACTCAAATTTTTCACAATAATTCCCAGATGACAAAAATATTAAAGACAAATTGATGACTGCCAAATGGCTTGGTGTCATTTGCTAGAAGGAAGAGATCTATATTTTACAAAGTATAGGCATGAGAGCAGCTGGCAGGCATGGGAATAAAAGCCCATGAGTTTATGCTATTTTGTCTCTTATCTAAATCTTAAATGGCTGATTAGTCTATTTCCAGAGAATAGATTTCATCATACATGCCAGGCCTTCGGCCATCATGGCATCATTTGTCCAAAAGCAACAGCCTTTGCTGGGCGGCATATTGTATACATATGCAAAAATTTATGTTACTGTGCAAATGTATACATACACATAAGCAAATATATGTATCTATGTATACATATAACATGTGTCAGAAAACCAAGACGTACATTTTGGTATCTTCAAGTTCTTTATGGTTTGAGTCTGAATATGATTTAGGGTCAACTACATGTATTCTTTTAATGTTGGTTCCAAATTAAGAGTTCTAAATGCATAAATATATAAAACAATACTTTAAAATAACTATATAGCCTCCTCAATAAAAACAAAAACAAAAAACTAACCAATGCCTCAAATTAAAATGAAAAACACTAAATCCACATAATATTTATATAGTAAAACTCTTCCAAAATGTTCATATCTGTGATTTTCTTTGGCAACGTTGAGGGAGAAAAGATGCTTTCTCTTGTCCTCTATATTAAAAATAATATTGAGTATTGCATTTACCACACTAATCTGTAAAAGCTTATGAGCAAAATTCTCATTCTTCATATATCACTCATCTTATTTGAGACCTATCATTTTGTTTTATGTGTTCTCATTAACAGACTCTACCACAAAAATTCCTTTTCTTAAATATAATAGAACTTTAAAAACAAAGTACTTCCTTTGTGTATGGAGAATGTTCTAATGTAACTAACATGTAACTAACCTTTCAAACGTAGCTGTCATAGACTATGTTACACATGGCAAATTTCAGGTAACTATCAAAATTCGCAAACAGTTCAGAAATCATATACATATGTGGCACTAAAACATGATATTAAATTTCAAATAATACAGCTGAGAGAAAGGAAATTCTCGAACATATTACCAAAGAAGCTGCTAGCTAACGACAAACAAACAAACAAACAAAAAACCTATAAGCCATGAATGGTATGGAAGCCAGGTAAGACATTAGATTTAATTAAATGCACAACAATGGAATGTGTCTAATGAACTTGACAGTTTCAGTAATTCTGTACAAGCTGAAAAGGTTGGGGAGAGATAAACTGATGGATTAATGGAGATCTTAAATGAAGGGGTTATGATATCTACTCTTCTCTATCAGGAATATCATGGATTGTAAAATTTTCTCAGGTATATATGCTGTAGATTTAAAATTGCTTAGGTGATTTTATAAACTAACTGTTATATACACTATAAGGACATTCTAATTGGTAGTACTGAGTTAGCAGAATAAAGTGAAAATTGTAAAGATGAGTGAACTGAAATTTTTTAAATGGCCAGAACTCATTAATCATCAATGCTTTGCATTCCAATATCTAATAACCATATATGAAGATTTTCTTTATGCTAGCATTAAAAATAATAGGCTTGAGGTGTAAAATTAGTTTGTGTACCTTGTGATTTCTTAATTTTAGTGCAAATCTATTTTTAATCAATTAATGTAACTTACAAAAATACCTAAAGGAAGCAACTCATTATAAGATGTTCACGTGAATAAAGTGACTAACATGTGAGGAGAGGGGAATAAATATGAATAAGATGTAAGTATGAAAAACTAGTAGAAATCTTCAAAACAATCCCTGAAGAAATGCGAAACAAGAATAAATTAAACTACAGTGGAAAGAAAATTGCGGAAGACTTGGAAAATGTCCTTCATTTTTTTCCAAGGGTAGGTTTTTCCAAAACTGAAGAAATTAGAGTAACCTAAGCATTCAAAAACACAGTACAGGAAAATGTAAATCACATGTACAGAGACAGTCTGGATCGGATTATTTTAGGTCTCCATCTACAAATAAGACTATTCCATGAAATCAACCTTTCCTCACTGAAGGAGATGATGTCCAGGCAGAGCAAATGTACTCACAGGAACAGCAGAGGCCCTGCTTCCCCACACCAATCAGCATGTTCAGGCAAAGGTTGCAATAGGCAGGTTTGTTAAAGTGCTTCAGTCGCCACACGTGCTGTCCATCATCCTTCACGTTCTGCATGGGACGTAAGAGAAACAGATTTCACTTAATGAAATAAACAGTGAAAGATGTAAGTGCCAATAAAATTCAGAGCTGGACCGAAGCATGTGAAGACAATCTGTTACTTCATCCCTGACTTTCTCCAAGATCACCACAGAGCCTTTAGAAAAACACATGTGCTCCAGTGAAAGAAGATAGTGCTAACAAATCACCGATGCTATAGCAACCCACAAATTTTTGTCTAATATTAACAGCTCAACAGCATACCCCAAGCCATCGTCATGACCTGGCAAATGGATCAGGGACGTGATTGCGTCTCCTTTAAATACTTTATCCTCAGCACAATTCCATGAACAAATAAATACATAGAAAGACAAAATACCCATCAGTGGAAGAGCCTGATAAGTAAAAACTTGCAAAGACGTCATTAACCCTTGCTTACTTAATATACAGAATTCATGATGGTGATCAGGTCATGTAAGGTGGCAGAGGAATGGGATGGGATGGAAAACTAATACTAAAAGATAAGTTATTGGTGACATTCTAGGGCTTCCAGGAGTCCTTATACTGTATTCCAATTTATATTAATATATTGAGTATGCCAGAAATAGTATATTTTAAAAGGTAAACTTTTTAAAGGATTTAATGATGTTATCATTTTGTTTGCCCCCTCTTATAAAATATAAGTAGTTTTAATCTCACAGAAAGAAGGTAAAAGTATTAAAACTGTATTAATATTATTATTTATAACAATCACTATAGTTATTTGCCACAATACAACCGTGGGTTTAAATTAATTCCCACTTTAGCAAAACACTTCATTTTTTTCTCTTCTGAGTAAAACTCTCTATATCATAATAGTTACTCGTGTAGGTGTTTAATCACAGCTGCATTGTTCAAGATTAAAATAAAATTAAATAATATGATGCTTAGGAATTTCTTGAACTCCTTACAAGAAGGTCAAGATATTAAATGAAATTATTATATATCATTACTTTTGCTACCATCATTTTCTCCATTAACATGTATTTTTTGTAGTCTAATCACCAAATTAAATCAAACAGATGAACATTTATTGGTATTCTATTGAAAACATTATTTGTCATAACTTTTCAGGTTAGCCAAATTGTCGTATTTCTCAGAACACATTCACCTAATAAGTTTTGAGCACCTATTAAGTGCTTGGGCATTAACATTAGTCCTGTAGTAGTGAGACAGTATAAAAATATTCAGATCATCTTGTTTCTCTTGATAATAAAATATTAATAATAATGGTCTTAACTACCTTTTCTATTCCCAGTCAAGGGATAAACCACTAAATTTGTAATACTAGAGAAAATCTACAGTAACTAATTCTTACATTAGAACCAGAAATGTCAAATTTGCATCATAACATGAAACATTAATGAAATGCTTCCTGGGAGATAATTCTCGGTGGGTCTCTTGAATTTCTTCATGTTTGAAAGCAGAAGCACTGTCCTTTCTTTTTTTTTCCTTCTTAAGACTATATTTTCAAAGATGTTTGAGTAACAAACAGCCTAGCCTTGGACAATAGAGACATGTCTCCCTCCAGAGGTGAGGGCTGGTTTGCTTACTATACTTACAGTATAATAAAAATAATCTCTCTCGTAGGCAAAGGTTAAATGGGTTTGTTTCCTACACATTATAATTCATTTAGTTTTCCTAAGTCAGGGTTTCCAAAACTTGATGCTGTGTACAATCATTACTTGGGTCCCACTCTGTTGTTCCCATGAGATTTTGGAGGCAAGGTGAACTTAAACGTGAAGCTCCTGTTACTTTATTTGTTGTGAATAACAAAGTCCATTGTCTCTGACTCAGGAGTCTCATGTCCTCTGGCAGCATCCATAAAACTGTGGCAAGCTAGCACATTAATTTCCAGTAGGGTAAATTTTGTAAAATGTAAACCCTTTACAGTTCTTGACATTGCTCAGATTTACCTTTCTGACAAGGGGCTCACAAAGGTCTCAACAAATACAGCTACGCAGGTGTCATACAGAAAACTTCCGAAAACACAGGTGTTCCAATTTTCTTTCAAAACTTAAGAAATTTCTGAATCTCCTGTTTGGTTTGGGTGAGTCATAGATTTCTAGTAGCTTTATCATGTGAATAGAATACTTTATATATTTAACTTTGCTATATTTTGCTATATTTTCAAAACTGTCTATATTTTAAAATTTATATCCCCTCAAATAACATTTAAACATCCTTATGTGGAAAGATTAAATATGGGGTTGTTAATTTTTCACAAACTAAATTAATATTTTAAAAATTAAAAGTAGTAGCTAAATGCTTAAAAACATTTTTAAGTAAAAAGGACAAAAATCGAATTTTCGTACGTATTACTGTTCTTGTAATCTTGTCATTTTATTTTTAAATGATTGTCCATTACATGTGAATAAGCTTCATCCTTTGAAGAGCACATATGGAGTAAGTTAGCTGGCATTTTCCTTATCAAAAAATAAACAAGTCTGAACGTGGGTGTTCTGTCAATCAGAACACTTAGCCATGTTACAGGCTGCAACTGATGTACAAAACCATTACCCAGGCATAAAATGCTTTACCAAAAAAACAAATTAAATAGCTTTATAGCTCTTAGCTGGATACATTGCCAAAATATGCAAGGGATGAAATATGTATGTGACTTCTTTAAGAGAAGAAATTGAAACCAGGAGGCAATTACTTCTCAGCAGTGCAAATTATACTCCAGCTCTCTATTTTCATGTCTTGTCTTGTTTATCTTGCTTAGAATGTAAACTTAACGGGGAGAGAAAGAATCTGTCCCTTAGATTCTATCAGCCAGTAGAACACATTCCTATTAGTACTTCCACTGCAAATATATATTTTTTATCACAAAAGGGAATTTATTTTTTATAAAACAGAAATAAGCAGGGCATCTAGAAAGGCTTGATTCCTAGCCTACTGTGAAAATGTGGATAAACCATTTCACCTTTCTTCCTATTTTCCTCTCTAATGAAAGGAAAGTACCCACTTCCCTTTTCCGGGCTGTGGTGTGAGGTTTCATTATACAATACCTGTGAAGTTAATTTGATTTCTCAGAAGACTGGTGTTATATAAACAGCAAATATCATTACCCTCATTGGGTTGCGTTGTGTAACATCCCAATATTTCAGCCAAAAGAACTGAGAAAAATACTTAAAATTTCACTTTATTTCATTAAAATGTGCTCTTTTTTCATCACCAGACATAACACTGTATATTGTAATGAAGCTGTTCAGGTCTGTGTTTATGACAGAGAAATGCTTAATGAATCCTAGGCTACTCCATGCTGAGAAGGAACTTTACATTTTTCCCCAACTCTTAGTTCCCTAGAAAGCAAAGGGATGTTTCAAAGGAAATAATGCTGTTTAGAACTTTCAAAACCTATTTCATTATCCTAGTGATTCTAAAGTTTTAGTTTTTCCATAAATACTTCCAAGATCACATAAAATGTTCAAGTGAACTAGGGCTACTATAAATAATTTTTGTTCAGAAGAACTCAAGGAGAAATTTCACTGATGTCCTAACCCACATGCTTCTCTCCCCACACCTAGTTATGTTTCAACTGACTTAACTTATATATATATATATATATATATATATATATATATGAGCTAATGTTACAAATAATTATTTCCAACTAATTAAATAACAAAGACTATTAAATTACCTTACTTTTTGTTCAAGGTCTCCAAAAAAAATTATGACAATGTGAAATAAGCTTCTCTTTTAGACAAAAAGATGAGCTCTATTAGGCCTGGGCAAAGAGAATGCAGAGAAAAGTTTTAAAATTCTGAGTGGAGCTGTCATCAACTGTCCATCTCCAGACCACACATTGTAAGGTCACCTGCCATTCCTGAGGCTCAAATGCAAAATCAACAGCAGGTTACACCACGTAGTCATTTTAAAAATGACACAATCTGGAATCTCGGTAATTTTTGCATTCATCTAGTTTTGTAACTGCTTTCTACATTGAGCAAAGTATAGACAGCAGAACAAAAACTCTTAACCAAATTAAAAACTTTTAAAAATTGATTATTGATGTGCTGAACATCAGCTTCCAAAATATAATTTAATCTACCAAGAGTATGTTGCCTTCAATTCTCCATCACTCAGGAATTTCATCAGAGAAAACTTCGCATATTACTTTACTAAGAGTCAAGCAAAAAATGTGTCCTAAACCATCTCAATCAAAGGCAAAGTTTAAATGACCTATAAGAATTGACGACCAGGATTTTTTTCACACATATAGTGAGACCGAAATATAAACCATCCAGAAACCATGCAGGCTAGATGTAGGTGCAACAATCCACAACAAGTGAAGGTATCGCTATTTCAAGCTAGGCCACTGCTTAAACGTACATTTCTCTTTTCCCTATAATATAAATTCAAGAATTTTCCTTGAAAAAAATTAAATGATGATCCAAAATTAGAGATTTCAGAAATTGAAGCGTTATTAATTATCTCGTTCATGCAGGAAAAGGAATGTTTGAACTGAAAGAGTATTAGGAAACACTAACTTCTCTTCTTGACTAACTTTTCATTTTTCCAGAGAGAGCAACTGCCTGGCACAAAATGACCTAGTTAGTTAATAACAGAGCTAGGGTCTGTTATTTGATCAATTTGATGACGTTCACTGCTCCTATGCTTTCTGTCTGTTTGTCCTCATGTCTTGCTGTGGCTGTCTGATTTTGCCAAATAAAAGGTATTAAACTCCTTTCTTCCAAATTATTTAAAATAAATTAAAAACTTTATCTGTTTTTTAATCTGACAAATTGGTGATAGAATAGATCAGCGGCTGGCAAACTATGACACTGAGTCAAACCTGTCCAGCAACCTGTTTTTGCACATGCAGTTTTATTCAAACATAACTTTCTGGTTCATTTACATAATTTCTGTGATTGTATTTGTGCCAAAACAGCAGAGTTAAGCCGTTGTGGCAGAAACCTTATGGCCCCACAGCCAAAATTATTTAATATATCTCCTTCTGCAGACAGTTTCCAATCACTGGAACAGAATCTACCTCTAGATAAAATCATTCAACAAAGAAAAGTGTTTTAATTACATGGGATATTTTTTTTTAAAAAAACAATTCTCCAGTGAGATGAATTCTGAAGGAAGAATGAATAAGTCTCAGGTATAAATTTTTATTGTGGTAATCAGAATCACGAAGCCATCCAAATTCTCAATTTTCCTTCAAATGTAAGAGACACTAACACTATACCATTTCTGACCGTTTCATCTTGTATTTTGTAAAGTTTGTAGAGCCTCTTCTAAGAGAAAAGAAATGGATCTTACTCTCTACTATTTGGCGTAGAATCTGGTCCCCATCAACTCCATTTCTGATTTTGGTACCAAAACAGATATTCTTTTTTTAAAAAAAGACTAGCTTTTAAACTACTGTTGATAGAGAAAAATAAATTGCACTGAAATCGTAACTGTTGTGCCTTACATTAGAAGTGAAGATTACTCTCCCAGGACTACTTCTTTTTCTGTGTAATTTGGCTAGGACACCACAGTCACTTTCAAATACACTGTGGTATTTTATATGCACTATCAATTAGAACCTACTCCCCGAGCTCATAATTGACAATAGACAATAACATATAGGACAACCTAACAAGACAAGCTTTACAATAAGTGGCCAACTTCAAACTGCAGTATCTAGATTTTCAATTAAATAAGCAAAGGTGAAGGGATAGATTCATGAATCAAATTCTCTCCAGGTAATAACGTAACACATTAACTGCCTACAGAAAGGAAATATATCTCAATTACTAAAAAAGGCTCTCATCACTCAGCTGTCTCCGTGTCATTCTCGCTTTTTAAAACAATTACCATGCCTTAGAGTTAAACAGCTCTTTCTAACAAATAGATGCTGTATTTTGTGATCATTACACATGATTATATGACTTATACATTTTATTAAAAGACAGTTTAAAATGTGGGTGGCTTCTTTTTTCACAAAACTGAAAGAAAAGGGAAATTTCTTCTTTTAAAGTTGTTCTTTACAGAGAGAGGGCGGGGGTGGAATCTGATCTCAGATTTAAGGTGCTCTCTTAAGGTTAAACAATGTGGCTCTGCCATCTAGCGGCCATCTCTGGAAACACAACTCTGGAACCCAGTTCTGATTGCTATCATGAAACTCTAAATAGATTTCTCTTATTTAGCTCCAAACACTCCCTTTTAACTAAAAATATAAAAAATAAATTTACAAATACTATTAGAAAGTAAATTATGTATAATTAATAGAGTGCACATTAAATGCATAGAATTGCCTTACAATTGAAATAATACTACACTAGAAGCTAATGAGGTATTATATTGGTTTAAAATACTTTGAGTTAAATCATATAGATTTGTGGACTCTATTACCTGTGCTAATTTTTATAACTTCACAAATATCTACATTGATAAATTAAATAAAAAATAATGTATCAGCAATAGTTTCCAAAGAAAAACATCATTTCAAAAAATCTCTTGTGATACTTAAAATATAGCCATCTGACTGTCCCTTTCGGCACTTTTCTATCCCACCCTCGACTACCAGATGATATACTTGCTCATTCCTGCATCTCCCCTCCTCTCATCTTAAAATTTCCGTAAATGCTTAGAATATACAAAGTTTAGCATTACAAACATAAAACGTCCTTGTAGGGAACCATTATTATTAGAATTTCCGTACTAAAGTTATCCGAACACAATTTTTCAGGATAAAGTATACATTAAATCTTAAAATGTCAACATTTTGTTACTTTTTCTTTTGTTTTCTCCCAGCAGTCTGATTTACATAACGCTTTTTTGTCATAAGGTACATGAACAATTAAATAAATACTTATAATATAGAGATAAATATGATATCAAATATCATTTTTAAAAGATAGTTATATGTAGTATAAGAACTTCAGGTACAAGGAAATACTGTTTCACAAAATTTTTAAGTGTAGAAATATATACTTATTAACAATAATACATATATATATATATTTATCTTTGGTTTAAATAAATTAGTTTAAGGGTAATTTTCCATATGTCACCTATTAGTATTTTATTGTTTTCCACCCTCTGGCCATGTCTCAGATCCCATGGGCCTCATGAAAAGCAAGATTCAACTGAGTTTAGAAGAATTTGAAGACCCAGGTAAAAAAGAAAACAAATGATAATCTCTTAAAGCCCATTATTTATTCCTAAACTGATACATATTCCTTAACCCTTAACTCATTTGTATATTCCTAAAGCCCATTTATATATTCCTAAAGCCATATGTGCCAACATACTTTTATATACACTCATATGTTTCGCAAACACAGACAGTAAGATATCTTGAGAAATGACTTTTAAAAATTTGGTGTCTTGAATAATTATGATATAGTCTTGAATCTGTAAAATTGTTTCAGTTGGTAACAAGAAGTATGAAAAGTTTTGGGTTTGGCAGCAAAGTGGTGAATACTATAGTCTTACACCTTAAAACTCTAAATATTACAATGTCATTGTGCTTTCCACCCCTAATGTTATTTGAAATTAAGTAGACATGTTATTGTACACATATTATATCTAATTATTATATAACTTTTTTTTTTTTTGAGACGGAGTCTCGCTGTGTCGCCCAGGCTGGAGTGCAGTGGCGCAATCTCGGCTCACTGCAAGCTCCGCCTCCCGGGTTCACGCCATTCTCCTGCCTCAGCCTGTGAGTAGCTGGGACTACAGGCTCCCGCCACCTCGCCCGGCTAATTTTTTGTAATTTTAGTAGAGACAGCGTTTCACCGTGTTAGCCAGGATGGTCTCCATCTCCTGACCTCGTGATCCATCCGCCTCGGCCTCCCAAAGTGCTGGGATTACAGGCTTGAGCCACCGCGCCCGGCCAATTATTATACAACTATTAATACTGAATTTAAAAATCTAGCATCCACTATAGATGTCATCAGATTTTTAAACTAACAATAACTAAAATCTGCTTCAAGGCTGGGTCAGCAAGATTTGCTTTCAACGTCATTATTATATTACATTCTCATCTTAGGCTGATTTATTTTATTCCTTCACAATGGTATTTAATTGCAACTAGAGGAACTACTCCAAGAAAACTTTTGACAGGCATAGAATGACAACCTGGCTGCTGCTGATTCAAGAAAAACTTACGTTTATGCAGGTTGGTGTTTATATAGGTTCTGCCATTACTTTTAATGGCAGAAACCGCAATGACTTCTGCACCACTATTCTTTAAACCACCGCAGATATCTAACTGCCTCCTCCAAGTATCAGTTATCAATAAAATAGATTACCTTTATAGGTAGGAGGAACATTGAAATAATGAAGCACCACAAGAACTGCAAAATACAATAATATTGGAGAGTCTCTTGTTTTAGATAATATAAGGAGGTCAGTAACTTAAAAACACTAGATTGCCCTTTAAATAGAGGAAAACAAAAGAGAGAGAATATATTTTTGATCCTAAAGAAATACCTAAAGTGAATCAATATGTGTGTGGCAAGTTTACTACACAAGGAGTTACTGTCAAATTGCACCGTGGCATACTTATTAAAAATTCCAGGCACTCACTACATGCTTCATGGTAGAAAATGATCAGATCAATTTGTAATCAAAATGTGTAATAGAGAGCCCCACTGACTCACCACCAGGCCACCCTCCTCTGTGGAAATACTTACATTTTCTAAGCCCAGGAGCACAAGAAGTGGGATTGTTGTCATTCCTCCTTGAATCCATTCCTCCAGAGACACGGTTCCGTCATGATCATAGTCAATTTCTTCCATCATTTCATGGAGGATCTGGAGTAGAGGAGATAAGGGAAAATATGTGGTCAATCAATAAAATAAATTTCATAGGCTACCACATATGAAATTGTGACTAACAGCTAAGTGGAGAGTTGGGATAACTGTTTTGGTAACTCAGTACAACATTAATTCTATTACTGATGAAGTAGTGACTTTGTTAGCATGTCTAAACCTGGCCACTTACACTGACACGTTTTAGAAATAAGTGCTTAACTTTTCACTATTTTTCCAATGAACAGCACAGCTAAAACAAGAAGAATCTTTAATAAGTGTGAAAGTAGTCTTTAATTACTTTCTCCAGATTATTTTTCAGATTCATATATATGCCAGAAAATGTCTGAACAAATTAACTTCATGGCAAAGAGCTCATATAATTCTTTGCTAAGTAGTAAGGGGCGAGGGAATTTAGTTGCTTTTTAATTGCCTATCAGAATTTAATAGAGTCAAGAAGTTAAAGGATCAAATCATGTTTAATTAAACTTCGTTTCTAAAGATGACTTGCACGTAATGTCTTAAAATGTTCTCCGCAGTGTTTGTTTGCAGTATATTTACCTCTCTGTGGTACGGTGGCAGTATCAGTACTTATCCAGAAGGGCTGTTGTGAGGATTAAATAAGCTAATGTATTATAAGTAGACCAGCCCCTGGCATATAGAGTCAGTGTCATATAGTGTTGTTTGTGTTATTATTAATGGAAATTATATATAAGTTCCAAACATACTACCCTTGGTTGCTGGGAAAGCAAAGTGCTTCCCATCTAATGGCATCAAGATGGCAAACATGGTAAGAATTCTAATGAAGAAAGGAACTCACTGTCTTTATGTAATACAAAAATGTTAATCAATTTGGAAAAAAGAGAAATGCAGAGAGCTTTGGAACAGAGATTGGAAAAGATGCAATGCATGAAATATTTAATTTGTTGGTAGAAGTATTGTCTGCCTAGACACTCTTGTGCATGGTGTCTTCACTCAGGCAGTATTGTATTTGAAAATTAGATTATTTTTCTCCACCTGATTCTCAAGAGCTTGCTGATGAATTAGTAGAAATGTAACAATCATAAGAGAAATAAAACAATGCCATTTGTTTCAGATGGGTGATGCTTTCCTTTTTGTACCTAATAAATCTCACGTTAAAGCCATCCTCTGACTGTGTCTCAAATCACATGGGCCTCATAAAAAAATAAGATTGAACTGAGTGTAGAGCTGGAGTTAATTTGATAAAAACTTCTAGGGACACTCCAGTCTTCCCTACTACTACAATCAACCTCGAATGTTCATTTCTCTCTCTTTCTTGCTCTCTCTCTCTCTCTTTTTTTTTTTTTTTAATTTTCTTTTTGAGATGGAGTCTCGCTCTGTAGCCCAGGCTGGAGTGCAGTGGCGCAATCTCGGCTCACTGCAACCTCCATCTCCCGGGTTCATGCCATTCTCCTGCCTCAGCCTCCCAAGTAGCTGGGACTACAGGTGACCGCCACCATGCCTGGCTAATTTTGTGAGTGTATGTGTGTGTGTGTTTTTAGTAGAGACAGGGTTTCACCATGTTAGCCAGGATGGTCTCCATCTCCTGACCTCATGATCCACCGGCCTCAGCCTCCCAAAGTGCTGGGATTACAGGCATGAGCCACTGAGCCGGCCCATTTCTCTTTATTTATATATGCAAATGATCAGAAGCCTGCAGATGTGTACATTTGTTTACAATGAGAGCTATTATTGAAGCCTTAGGCAAGATGATGAGGCAGTTTCCATGACAGCAGACATAATGTATAACTTTGTACCATTTCAGCTCCCTAGAATAGTAGCAGACTTATCAGTAACACACATGTCAAATAATGCTATAGTTTATTGCTTGTATTCTCCAGTCAATAGTCTGATAAATACAGTAGGTATTTGTTGTAGAAAGACTACTCAGCCACCAGCTCTTCTCTTCCTCCTAGCATCCTGATCTCCTTTTTCTCAAAGCTACAAACATCCCCCCCCACACACATACCAAAAATACTTTTGATGAGAAGTGGTAGTGCTCGCTGTTTAGAAATCTGAATGGAAAAACAAATCCCCCTCCCACTCTCCCTCTAGTAACAAGTTGGCTTGATTGATAGATGACTCATCTGCACAGGTAGCAAGGTGAGTAGGAGAGGAGAGGAGAAAGCTGTTGTCGATTGAAAGGGCAACAGAACTAATCAGAAATTCCTGGCTTACAGTGAAAATATTAAAGTGAGTCAAACAATAAATTAAATGCATGTTACCATCTACTTTATTATTCCACATACAAATGGCAACTTGTTAATGACATCTGCCACTCACTGTAAGCACAGCATATGCATTTCCTAATAGTTGATTTAAAACTGGAAAAATTCTAATCCCAGTAAGACAGGAAAATGCTATCAGAGTTCTTGCAGCATATAATCATGCCATTATCCTGTTGTTTACTTCATAAATGTGAACGGAGGTTAAATATACACTTCTTGAATTTGCATAAAATGTAAATCATTTAAATAAAATTTATTTGTATTTCCTTTATTCATATACACTTTGCTAAAGGTTTTAAAAATAATATAAACTCAATATGTCTTATCAAATTTCCCCAGAATATTTTTGTGGCCAAAATTATGGTTTCAAATTAAGTATATTTTAATATGTATTTGAATAATGTTGAAATTTTGAAATTTATTCAAAATAAGAATTCTGTGCTCTTATAAGCATTTTTAGATACTCTTTCTCTAAACAATTTAATTAAAAATTCCTGATTCAAACTAGCTAAAGAGCTTTGGACAAGTAATTTTAACATATTTGTGTCTTAATTGACTCCTCTGCAAAATGAAAAAAAAAATAGTGTATCTACCTCAGAGAGTTGAAAGCATTATATAACACATATATGCAAGGTAACACAATGCACTGTGCATAGAAAACTACCATCTTCTTTTATGGCATGGCATGACCTTGGCAGTGTCTATCAGGATCTTCTGCTTGTCCACATGTATGTAAGACCACCATTCAAAATAACTTCCATGTGGAAGAAAGCAAAAGTTACTGTTAAGAGTTTCAGAAGGCCGGGCGCGGTGGCTCAAGCCTGTAATCCCAGCACTTTGGGAGGCCGAGACGGGCGGATCACGAGGTCAGGAGATCGAGACCATCCTGGCTAACATGGTGAAACCCCATCTCTACCAAAAAAATACAAAAAATTAGCCGGGCGAGGTGGTGGGCACCTGTAGTCCCAGCTACTCAGGAGGCTGAGGCAGGAGAATGGCCTAAAACCCGGGAGGCGGAGCTTGCAATGAGCTGAGATCCAGCCACTGCACTCCAGCCTGGGCGACAGAGCAAGACTCTGTCAAAAAAAAAAAAAAAAAAAGAGTTTCAGAACTCCACATATACCTTATTATCTTATTCAGAATCCACTTTGTCTTCTGATTAGAAATAGTAACTTAGTTATCAAAAGACAAAATCAAGTGACAGGAATATATTAGGGTCCCAGAAAAGACAAAGAAAGACAGAAAGAAAGACAGGAAGGGAGGAAGGAAGGGAGGGAGGAAGCGGGGGAGGAAGGAAGGGAGGGAGGAAGCGGGGGGAGGAAAGGAGGGAGGAACGGAGGAAGGGAGGGAGGGAGGGAGGAAGGGAGGCAAGGAGGGAGGGAAGAAGGAAGGAAGGAAGGAAGGAAGGAAGGAAGGAAGGAAGGAAGGAAGGAAGGAAGGAAGGAAGGAAGGAAGGAAGGAAGGAAGGAAGGAAGGAAGGAAGGAAGAAAGAAAGAGAAAGAAAGAAAGAAAGAAAGAAAGAAAGAAAGAAAGAAAGAAAGAGAGAGAGAGAGAGAGAAAGAAAGAGAGAAAGAGAGAAAGAGAGAGAGAGAGAGAAAGAAAGAGAGAAAGAGAGAGAGAGAGAGAGAGAGAGAGAGAGAAAGAGAGAAACTGTTGTTGTTGTTGTTGTTGTTATTGTTGAAAGAGAAAGAGAGAGAGAAAGAGAGAGAGAAAGAGAGAGAGAAAGAAGGAAGGGAGGGAGGTTGGAAGGAATTGAAGGAAGGAAGGAAGGAAGGAAGGAAGGAAGGAAGGAAGGAAGGAAGAAAAAGGGGAAGGGGAAGGGGAAGGAGAGGAGAGTGGCCCTCCAGAATTTAGCCAATAGTGAAATCATTCATATACCTACTGGATTAAGTTCAGTGACATCCCACTCAAGGTATTCTGCAACATGCATCATCTGACTGATGATATTTTCTAGCTCCTGGAAGAGAAAGAGAGATAAAAAAATATGACTACAAGATCTTAGTGAGTTTTAAATCTTTCACTTGCAGGAATTGTTTCGTTCAATGTGTAACTTAAAAAGTTAAATGACTTCCATGGGAATATGTACATGTGCATAACCCTTTCTAAAGGTGTAATTAACTATATAAAGAAAAGAGAATCCTAAATATAAATTTATCTTGTATATTGTCTAGAAATGTTCACCAGGAGAGGGCACAACTGTACAAAAAATACATTTTCTTCTACTAAAAGAGAGTGTCTGAAGAAAGCAGGAGCAGATATATATTGTCACATGTGATTTTTAAGACACTGAATTCCCTGAACCTTTGGCTTGAAAACAGATGTGAAAGGGTGGAAAAATCATATGAGGACAAGTGAGAAGTCTATTTTTATCTTGATACACTGAGAATGTATATTGACTATTCTAGTCATGTATCGAATAATTTGCTTTTGATAGAAGAGTGTTCGGGGTCAAGGTTTGCAGGACAAGTATATGTAGCATTTATTTTGTGAGAGGATGAAATTTTAGTTTAAATTTCCATATTATTCTGCTCAATTATCAACTCTTTGAAGAATTGCAAGTTCTTCAAATTGCAAATACATATGACCTGGCTAAATTAATTAAAACATTTTCCTGCCTATTTATCGAATGTTTTAATTTTTGTCTATCTACAGAAAAGATGAAACATGGCTTTGTGAAATGCTTGTAATTCTACGTGAAAACATGACATAATTTGAAAAGTGGTGTATGATTTAAAATGTAAGAAGTATAAAAGAATGAAGCTTGAAAGTACAGCCTAGTGAAAGATTATTCTACTCAAATCTCTAATCTAATATATGTAGTCGATGTTCATGGAATAGAGAAGAAATACGATAAGACAGATTCTCTGTTGGGGAGCTGTGGTTCCCTCTGAGGAACTAATGAAAGCTGTATTCCCTCTCTCCAGAAGAAAAATAGAATTATGAATATGTTACTTAAGACAGGCTGCCCCAGAACTAATACAAATATAAATGTATTTATTACAGATTAACAAATTTTAAAACATAAATCCCTTTGAATTATAGGTTAAAAGTGTTGACTAATCTCTCACCTACTCCATCTTTGCTTACATATGCATTAATGGTTTGGAAGTGTTAAAGTTTCTGGATATCTTTTAAGAACAGAAACTATTTTTTGTGGACTGTTATGTAGGCATGTGATATTAGGTATGCCAGCCCACCTAAGACTCAGGTTTCTCATTGGCAAAATAGTTACTCTAACTTTACCTCCTTCATAGTATTGCTGCAAATATTAAACATGTTATTATACAAAATGCATTTATTTTGTTATTTGCATATTGCAAATGATCACAAATCTTAACTATTATTATTAGAAATAGTGACAATTTTCAAATTATCATTTTCTTTCTGTTTTGCCCCCAGTAGGTAAACTGCCACACTTTAACGTTATCAAGACACATGATGTCAGAAGGTACAATTTAAACCTGACAGTGAAGGAAAAATATTGGAGCAGTAGGTATTGTGAAGAAAACCCTAGAAATGAAATCCAGACCTTTAATTACAAAAAGTAGAGACTTGTTTAACCAAAACTAAATATATTTATCTCCAATTTATCTTCAACTCATTGTTTAATATTGGGACTATAGTTCTAAATATTGCTAGTAATCTGCTGTATATACTAACAAAAAATGGCCAGAGACCAAAAAAAAAAAAAAAAAGGACTATTTGACTGAATTTTCAAATCAACTGCCAACCCGTGGCTGAAGCCTAGTAAAGAATCATCATTTTAATTTAATTTAAAAAGAAACATTAAATAAAACAACTCTCCATTAAAATATAATTTCCATTAGTGTAATCACAAGTGTTATAATAACATATTAAAGTATCTAAAAGAAATTAAAAGTTCTAGTCATGAAATGGCACCATAAAAAGAGCAAATTTATTATGTAGCTTGGTATTTCTACTGGGAAACTGAAGACCACTAGGCACTAAAAAATAATAGCATCTGAAAAAAACAATTTTTTTTTTTTTGTTTTGAGATGAACTCTTGCTGTCTTGACTAGGCTGGAGTGCAATGGCACGATCTCGGCTCACTGCAACCTCCGCCTCCCAGGTTCAAGTGATTCTCCTGCCTCAGCCTCCCGAGTAGCTGGGATTACAGGTGTCCACTACCATGCCTGGCCAATTGTTGGATTTTTAGTAGAGATGGGGTTTCACCATGTTGGCCAGGCTGGTCTCAAACTCCTGACCTCAGGTGATCCACCCGCCTTGGCATCCCAAAATGCTGGGATTACAGGCATGAGCCACCATGCCCTGCCAGTATTTGAAAAATTACTGAGACTTAAACATAATAAATACCACAGTAACAGCATCAATTCAGAGTGATGGTCATTTCTTAGAGTAGGAGTTATATATTTTAATCTCTCTCTGGAGAAGCTAATATTACCATTATCCTACTCAAAGTTACGTAAATAGGCTTCCAACCCATTGCTTTGCTTTTAAAAGTATATTTTAGCTGCCATAGGGTGGTCTATCAGATGATGAGAAAACCTCACTCATTTTCAGAGATCATGTCTATTTCAGTCATTATTAAATATATCAAAACATTTGTTTTATACTAATATTAAATATATTAAAAATGGTGCACTTCAAAATTTCCATAATATGACACTTATTCTATTAATATTCTTATATTTCCTTGATAGAACAAGAAATAATATAATATGCAAAATATGTTACCAAACATAAGGTAGATTATTGGACAGAACCTGAGATGGACTTTCATGCATGGTACTGATCTGTGCACTAGGACAAAAAACTACTTGCTATTTCTCTGAAAGCTAGGAATGATTTCCATATATTACAAATAAACGTTTAATTTTTCCTTTCAGTTAAGCATGTAAAGATGGTATTTTCTTATTTTTTATGACTGTAAGAATGTAAATTGAATATTAAATTGGATGAGATATTTAAAAAGCAAAGTTTGTGAAAGCAATCTGTAAATATATTTGTCTATTTCAGCAGCATATAGGACTAAAGATACCATGTAAAACTGGGAAAATAATGAGATAATTAAATTGACTTTACAAATCCTTAAAATTCTACTTATAGTCTCAAGTTTCCTTAATGCCAAATGTTATGAATAGTTTCTCCTTCATTCTAGATCAATGGTTTCAACTTAATCTTATGTTTTATTCAGACAAGGCTGGGGCCTCTCTTTTTTTACCTAACTTCAGTGCAGGAAAAAAAACTTAAAAAGTCGTGTAGTGGTAGCAAAACTATTCAGTAGAACAACTGTAATCCCAGCAGTTTCCTCAGATCACTCTCTTTCAAAACGTCAAAAGATAAAAATGCCATATGTGTGGATGTAAATTACATTAAGTGTGACTTCTGTGGTAATAACTATACATTTATTCATTGCATTTTTCAGAAGAAACTCTTTGAAGTTTTCACAGAAAATTTGAAGCAAAAAATTACCGAGCTGTCCAGGAAGCCATTCCCATCCGTGTCATAAAGGCGAAACATAACTAGAATAAAAGAGGTGTTGAAAACAAGATTATAGGCAAATAAGATCAATGTTAGTTTAAAGTATATTCATTAACATTTAGTTTGTGTTGAAAACAAATACTAAATTTCTACCCTGCTCCAAACAATTAATTTGTGGGATTATTTCTCAAACTTAATTGAATTAATTAATTAATAGAAATTAATTGAATTAATTCATTAATAGAAATGCTGTATAGCACATATAAAGTCTATTAAATTTTGTTTGTTTCTAGAAGACACTAAAAAGTACTATTATTTGTTTAAACTCTTTATTACAAGATCATTAAATGTCAACTCAAAAATAAAAGGGAAGAAGTTGAAATATTCAAAGCCTGGATATTAAAGAGCAGAGTGCATAAGGAAAAACAACTAATGTGAAATTTTCGAAATCAAGTATAATTTGAAATCAATCATTCAGTATTACAAGAGCTTGGTCAAAAACTGTTTTCTTTATCTGTGAAATGAGAATAATCATTCTACCATAACACACATTTACCGTGAAAGTTAAGGGAGGCTATAGATATAAAAGTGAACCGAAGGCCATAGATCATGATACAAATAGATGCCATTGTTAGGATTGATCCCCAAGCAGTATGGGCGAGGAAGGAGGAGTGCAAAATAACGGATTCTTTCTGATGGAGGAAGCCAGCACAGAAAAATTGCATTATGATCATGGCTTTCATGGTTTATTTGTTTAAATCTGAGGTGGAGCTTCAGAGGGTAACTGATCTTTGAACTAATCAAGTAAGGAAAAGGAGAACATTGGCTCTCTGTTAGGGGATTCAGGAAAGCAGATGACAGAGGTCCCTGATGGGCCTGAGGATGCCCTTGTATAATTCACACATCCCCAGGAGGCTGTGGAAGAGGCCACAGCTGCCATTTTGAGATAAACAGAGAAGAAAGACACAGCTGTAAAAACAGAAGAATGGAAGTAAGGGTTTGTCTTGGGTTTGTATAATTTCCTGAATGATCTTGATTCTGAGGTCTATAATATTAATAAAGACATTGATAACTAAGAGGCATAATTATATAATGACCTTGATAGTCTATCTGTAGGTGATTATTTTTGTATTTAATGGTTACTGCATTTCACCAGTTCTAACATATGATTATTAATAAGATGCATAATTGGTCTATATATTGCTAAAAAGAAAAAAAGTTAGCCATGTAACTATAATATTCTATTTATTGTAAGATGCAAACAAATGTTAAAGATGTTAAAGTGTAAGAAAACAAATGTCTGTCTATTGACTTAAGGGTGATAATACTAAGTCAGCTAAAAGACATATATATCTGTATTTATAAATCATGGTAATGATTCCCTCTCATATAGTCAATAAATAAAATGAAATGCATCACTCCTGTAATCCCAGCACTTTGGGAGGCCGAGGTGGTGGATCACAAGGTCAGGAGATCGAGACCATCCTAGCTAACATGGTGAAACCCTGTCTCTACTAAAAATACAAAAAATTAGCCGGGCGTGGTGGTGGGCGCCTGCAGTTCCAGCGGTTCGGGAGGCTGAGGCAGGAGAATGGCGTGAACCCGGGAGACGGAGCTTGCAGTGAGCCGACATCGCACCACTGCACTCCAGCCTGGGCGACAGAGCGAGACTCTGTCTCAAAAAATAAAATAAAATAAATAAATAAATACATAAATAAATAAAATGCAGAAGGAAACAGCAACATACAACATTATGCATACCGAGCATTTCAAGAGATTGTAGTGCAGCAGCAAATAGTAAAAAATATCTTTGTAAGTGGTAAGAATTGACCGACTACTCAGAGAAAGGATTAACTAACAGGAATAAGCAAATACCTAGAAAAGCCTAAATATATTTTAGATTGAGGGACATTTATGACTCTGTTAACCCTTACTGTAGTAAATGACTGCAAAATGACCATTTCACATTGCTCAAATTTGTGGAAACGCTGCTCCTATTTGTTGACCTTACTGGGAACATGAACTCAAAGAAACACACATGGGAACAATGTATAGATATTGGGCATTCATTATTGACAGTGTTTGAAACTTCTTCCTATTTTCTGGAAATCACACTTTATGAATACCATTAGAAAATGAAAACTCTGGATACCTTTCCTTTACTAGCCTGACTTGAAGCTAGACTGTGCACATGACCCAGGCTCCACCACACAGAAGCACAGTCCTAGGTTATCAATCAGATGCTAGTGACCTAAGCAAAAGAAGCCTGCACAGAATCCATTCTGGTGATGGGAGGTGGCAGTGGTTTCAGAGAGAACATCCAGGGTTCTGGATGAGTAGGGTGTTTGGAAGAAACCATCCCAGCCCAATTTTATACTTCATTTGGTCATCGTTCCTGAAGAGGCAGCCTCTAGAATTTGTTCTGTACCTCTCCCAATGATTCTGTGTGCTCCTAAATATTGCTTAAAAATAATAACATGCTTTATTAAAAACAACCAGTCAAAACAAACCTGATTCTATGTCTTTCCCAAGGGTAGTGTGTACTTAACATTGGTTTTAAAAAGGAACTTACTATTGAAATATTACACTTACAGATAAATGTATTATTTAATACCTTATTAAAGTGTACACACCAATGTAACTATTACCTCTAAATTAAGAAATCAAATTCTTACTAACAAATCAGAGCTCCTTTCATCCTCCTCCATCATTATTTCTCCTTCTCTCCCAAAGACACCCATTATCTTGACTTCTACATCCCTTCTTTTGAATTGAATATAACATTTAGAAAACATTTGCCAATCTTTTCTTTCACCTATTACAAAACAAAACAAAAAACTAACCAAAATAACACTGCTGGATTTCTAATGTGATTGTACTGAATCTATCGATCTATTTGGGGGAGAATCTTTAAAATGCTGAGTCTTGAAATCTGCAACCATGTTATAGTCCTCTTTAATTAGAGCTTTAATTTCTCTCAATAATATTTCATACTGTTCTGTATAGATACCTTTCAAATAGTTTTTAAAGATTTATTCCCAGGTATTTACTAATTTTGATTTGATAAATGGTAAAATTTCTTAAATTTTATTTACTTATTATTAGTTGGTATCATACAGAAATACAAGTGATTTTTATTTCTACCTTGTAGGCACAGATCTTGCTAAACACACTTATTAATTCAAGTATTTGATCTATCTGTAGATTACTGGGTAGTCTATAACAAACAATGAATTTCAATTTCTTCTTTCCCATCCTCTTAAACTCCATGTATTTTTCTTGCCTTATTGCCATGGGCAATCATCTCCGACACAAAGTTGAATTATACTTAGAGTAGTGGCCATTCTTGTCTTGTTCCCAATATCAATGAGAGAAACTTCAATATTTTACTTTTAAAGTCTGATGGGAGTTTCCTACGTATACACATTTTTAGATTAACGGAATTCTTTACTTTCTGTTACTTAAGAATTTTTGCTTTTACAGTTGTTTTGCTTTCAACCATGAATAGAATACATATGGAATGTGATAAAATACTTTTATGATTTTCTTCTTTATTCTCTTAATGTGGCAAAATACATTGTTTCACTTCCTAATGTTAGGCCAAATTTAAATGCCTGTAATAATCCCAACTTGAACCTGGACATGTTATTCTAGCCACTTTACGTATTTAACTGTACTTGATTGCTAATATCTGGCTTCCATTCTGCTCATTATCTGGAAAAATATATGAGTGACTTGTACTTTAATTTCTTAAATTCAATGGAAAAAGCCATGCTTCTTTCTCCTGAAAATTTGCCCTAAAAATCCAAGTTGCCTTGATACTTCCCTGAAAGTTTTAAACAGGTTTTAAAACTATACATTTGTTCCAGTTTTCCAGTTGATTCCAGTAGGAGAGTTGGTCCAAAAATTTCTACTTCATTAGTGCCTGAAGAATCTAATATTTTAAATCATTTATTCCTAAACACATTAACAAGAGTTAATGTTCTTTATAAATTCTGTCCAATTCATCAAGGAGGAAAGTTTGAAGAGTTTTAAGCTCTAGTTAATATAATAACAATAATAAAAATATCATACATATATTGAGTACCAAGTACTGTGTACTCTAAATATTACCAAGTCAAGGTCAAGGATAAAACTTTTCTTTCGCCGGGCGCGGTGGCTCAAGCCTGTAATCCCAGCACATTGGGAGGCTGAGACGGGCGGATAACGAGGACAGGAGATCGAGACCATCCTGGCTAACACGGTGAAACCCCGTCTCTACTAAAAAATACAAAAAAAAAAAAACTAGCCGGGCGAGGTGGCGGGCGCCTGTAGTCCCAGCTACTCGGGAGGCTGAGGCAGGAGAATGTCGTAAACCCGGGAGGCGGAGCTTGCAGTGAGCTGAGATCCGGCCACAGCACTCCAGCCTGGGCGACAGAGCGATGACTCTGTCTCCAAAAAAAAAAAAAAAAAAAAAAAAACTTTTCTTTCATCCAGGAGAAGAAAGAGAAATTCTAAGACTTTAATTTTCAGTGATAAGTCTACTTTTCTAATTTAAAATTATAGCTAGGTAATGCAAAACACGAAGTATTGAACACACATATTTACCTTGGTTTTCTATTGAATTACCACTATAGTGACAGCAAGAGATAAAATAGGAATAAATCTATAAGCAGAAAGAAAATATGAGAGCAGAAAACACTAACACAATTTTCAGGAGCTGGAGAAAATATGTACACATATATGTTGACTTAGACATCTTAGAAATATAAATTAAGCTGGTAGAGGTAAAGAAGCATAGATTTGCTTAGAAAGGTGGTGAGTTGGAAAATTAACAGATAATCTTCACAGGATTATCTGGGGTGTATGTAAGCTCTCTCCCCCAACAGAAGACTAGATCTTTGAGTTCTGCAAAAGTGAAAATGAAAGGAATTCTGGGCTAAAGGTACTCAGGAATTCTGAGTGTAAGGACACAATACCAAAACAAGGTAATTACGTGAAAGCGAATATACCGAATATTGAGAGAATAAGTCCCTTTCCTTATCCCCAGTAAATCAGTACC